ATAGGAAAATTAAAGCATATTTAATTTAGGTCAAAGTGTATAATGCCAGGCAAAATTAAGAAATAGGAATGCAAAAGCTTTGAAAGAATATGAATGAACATAAAGACGAGAAGGTAGAGATGGGTTTCATGCGTGCGCATGATTCCTCAATCGTGCGCATTAATGCGCATTCATGCGCATGATTCGGAATCATGCGTATTTAATTTAGGCCAAGGTGTATAATGCCAGGCAAAATTAAGAAATAGGAATGCAGAAGTTTTGAAAAATTCTGAAGAAAAAATGAATGAGCATAAAGATGAGAAGGGTTGGGAAAAATTTTTGTCAAATATCCGATATTTTCCGGAAGGAAAATATAAAATTAAAAAAAATTATTTCATGCAATTTCATGCGCATTTTATATAACGTGCGCATTAATGCGCATTCATGCGCATGTTATTATAAAAATGCGCATTTTTCCCATCTCTACGAGAAGTTCGGAGAAAATTTTGGCAAATATCTGATATTTTCCGGAGGGAAAATATAAAGTCAAAAAAAATTATATCATGCGATATCATGCGCATTTTTCCCATCTCTAAGTATAGTATAGGCCGATTTTTAAATCTATACTCTACGGACCAGGTATTATATACAGTAATAAAAGAAGGCTTGGTCATACTATCAAACATTTCTCTAAGGCTTTGCTTAGAGTTTATACGCCGTTTCGCTTAACTGTTATCGTGACTTTTGGCTTCGTATCTGTTTATCTCTGTTTATTATTTATCTCAGCTAACAAGCCTCGTGTGTGTTTTCACAGCCTCTTTTCTTTGTGCATCTTGACTTATTTTATCACAGGATTTACAGAGTACAGTCGTCCTCCTATACAGTCACCTCTTATATAATCACACCCTCTTTATAAGCACCATTTTTTGAAAAATTATTGACAATACAGTCGTCCTCCTCTATAATCACGCTGTTTGTTTTACATAAAAAGATGTGATCGTAAAATTTTAATAGTAGTGTGATTATAAAGAGTTTTTAATAAATATATTGTCAAGAATTTTTCAAAAAATGGTGCTTATAAAGAGGGTGTGATTATATAAGAGGTGACTGTATAGGTCTTACCCGGGTCGGAAACTAGTGACCCGGGTTAATCAGGTATCAACCCGGATCATGACCCGGGTCAATATATAAATTTATATATCTGTGTATTACTTTATTATCGCTACATATCAAAATTAAGTTTTCATATGGGCTAATTTGAGAAATTACGTAACTCAAAATTTTATGTTCAGTTTGAAATCTATTTGAACCTATATTTTTGTCAAATGATGCTTCTTAGCATAACTTAGCCAATAAAAAAAAAAAGAAAAGAACTTTAAATAATATGACAGAATTGCTAGCACAGTAGTAGGCGTCGTGTATGGTACGTGCTATTAAAACGCAGTGCCAGGGCACTATGTTTAATAATACTGTGCCCGGCACATATTTATTTTGTTACTGTGTCTTGTTATACAATATACTAAAATTTTATTGGTTCCGGGCCAAATAATTTAGGTTTGGCGGTGTTACGATCGAGTGGGAGAGTGAACAAATAGTGGTTAAGGTTAAATGGTTTAAATCAATAAACTAACACACATAGTTACAGGTTAAGGTTTCTCTTTATTAACATAAATCAATACATCAGAATATTACAATAATACTCAAACTACTATTAACTAATGTTCGCAGACTGAAACCACACCCTTATATATCTTAATTCATGTAGGGTTTTAATCCCTCTCTGAGGGTTATTATCCCTCGCTGAGGGTTATTATCCCCCAACTATGCCACAAACTATACCAAAATAAGAAATACATAGAATAACTGTAGAATAATATGACACTAACTAAAATTAAATATTTGAGCATAACAGCAGCCAATTTTTTTTTGACCCGTTTGACCCGGGTTAGATAAAAATTTGACCCGTGACCCGTCAGGATGCTGACCCTTCGGGTCAATCTGACCCGGGTCATAGCTCTAGTATATTTATTAAAAAACTCTTTATAATAACACTACTATTAAAATTTTATAATCACATCTTTTTATGTAAAACAAACAGTCGTATCTAAAGTTACTATCTATCTGAAGTTGCAACTTTAGATATATAAAGTTTTACATAACCAGAATTATATGTATGAAGATCTAATTTCAGGGCTTAATTTTAGTGGTCAACTTTATATATCTAAAGTTGCAACTTTAGATAGATGGTAACTTTAGATACGACAGATACACAATCAGACCAGAAAATTTGATAATATTTCTGGTCAGATTCAACATATATATTTTCTAAATTATGTTCAAGTTGCATTTTCGTTGAAAATTTTAAATTTTATTTAAATAATAACAAAAAAAGTTGTATAAATTAAATAAATAAATATAGAATAAGAAATTTTAATAAGCTAACTTTGTTTTAATTCGTTTAACTTTGATATAACTTCATCTTTGAAATTGTCAAATTTGTTAGTTAAATTATCTAACCTTTTTTTAATTTGACTAATTTCAGAGTTATCGCTAGTTAAATCTTCAACTCTTTTTTTAATCGGTCTAATTTCATTGTTAGTTAAATCTTCTAACCTTTTTTCAATTTGACTGATTTCGGATTCATCTTCTATATAAATAAATTTTAAAAATAAAGGAGGAATAAAAGGTTTCTCTAAAGTTGTCCATTTATCATTTTTAATATCTTTAATTAGATCACGAAGTTCATGTACATGTACTTCGTAAAAGCTAAGCATAAAAATAATACGTATATAATTAAAATTATATAATGAATTATAATGAATTAATAATCAATTATATTATACTCACATAGTATTCGGAAACCAGTTATTTTTTCTTCTTTGATATGGCAACATATAAAATAATTCAATTTCGGTTAAGACCTACAAAAATATAATAAACATGTTTTTAAATACTATATTTTTACAAAATAAATGGCTTAAAATATTATATAACGAAATAATATTTATTAAAATTTATTTTAATTTGTATTTGACTGTATCTTAAGCATGGTTTAGACAATTTGGCATACCAAGATAATTTTAGTGCATAGGGTTTAGTACAGTTAGTACCAACTTATTAACTATACCAAATTCCAAACTTTGCTTTAAGATCTTTTGAATATGTATTGTATGCATTAAGAGGTTATTCAAACAAACCAACCTCAGCCCTTTGAATTAGAAAGAATTCTTTTGCTGGTTGTCTCATTTATTGCTTCACTAAGTAACCCGATAAACAAATTCATTAAATAAACTGTTGTAAAAAAAGAAAATATAACTACTAAAATAGTTAAAGTTATATTCTCATTTAAAGCCCAAGGAGATAAAGAAGATGTATCTCCTATTGAATTTTATAATAAAAAAATATTTAGCATTTTTACGTGAAAAATTGTTATTAAACATAATTTAGATTTTAGATTATTACCTGTAAGCATAATATAAACTGCCAAAATTGCAGATATAAGCGTTGAAAACATATTTGTGCTTTCACTTGGAGGTTCAATAAGAAAAGGGTCTTTACTGACAGAACCATCCGAATTTACAGTATAGTACTTTGTTACCAAATTCCAAGGATTATTTGGATCATTCGAATAATTTGGTTGATCCAAAGATATATCAGTAGTAGGTCTTAGTAAGAGGTGTAAAGAATGTGCAAAAGCAAATACAATAAATGCTAATATAACTAAAAATAAAAAGGCCCTTTTAGCTACACCAATTATCATTGCAAAATAAACACCAATATATGCAAGTGCCCGGAAATAAGTAAGAAATTTTAATTCAAGTAACAATGTAGAAAAGATAATTGCCCAAGTTGGTGCAGTATAATCTTTAAGCCATATAATTGAAGTTATAGTTGGAAGTAAAATCTTTATCAGTTATAGCAAAAATAAATTAAATTAAAATAAATTAAAAAAGAATAGCATAAAATTAAATATACTGTAAGCAATAAAGAAACTTATAATTACCAACATAGTTCCATGGAGAAGTAATATAAAGTATGGGAGAATAAATAAACTGGCGAAACTCAAAAATAAGCTGCCAGATACCAAGTATAATAGTGAATATTAAAAGAATTTGTTGATGAGTCCAAGAAATTTCATTTGATAAAGTTGCTACAGCAGTAAAGCAACAAAGAAAAATAGTATAAATCATCCAGATAAATAAATAATAATTTCTTCCATAAGTATTCCACTTGAAGTTTAAAAGAGCTTCACCATTCCAAGTTTTGTATAATTCTAAGTCTATTGATTTAGTGAAGGAACTAGGTTTAGGCTTCCATAACTCCTTTAAAGTATTGACCTTTTTGGGATAATTGACAAAACATGGTAAAGGAAATAATAATTTGATTGTTGCATTGTGATCTAAATAGTGAGTTCTATAATAATTTTCAAATGGTTCTATAAGGTAATAATGAATAAAAGAAAATAAAGTTCTATAATAATTTTCAAGTGGTTTTAGTTGATTTTGGATAAAAGTCATACAATTATTTTTAAAGACAAGCAAATATTTAGAAATAATAAAAAATGCATTATTAATGTGGGATGTTTCATATAAGTTATAATATGAACTATAATGGTGAAGATGAAGTGATGATGATAAAGAATTATAGTACGCCTCATAATTCTCAACGGAAGGAACCACAAATGCCATCTTTGATAAAAATTTATATATGATTGCAGGATTCTATTTAATTAATTCTGAATAAAATTGAGCTATAATACTTAGTGACTAAATATTTGATTGTAAATCGCAACTATCTTTATCATACGAGCATTTTTCAATACAATTCTCGCATAATTTTTCAATCCACCAATCCTTATTTAACTTTAAAAATTTCTCTAAGTATTTTACCACAATGTGCTAAAAAAAAATTTTCTTTAATATAGTAGTCTAATAACAAATCATATAAATTAGTGGTATCTTTATCTGATTTAATATTAGCTTCATCGATAATTCCATCGAAGTCAGATTGCGGAAGAAATCTTTCAGTCAGAGAATCATCAAATATCTCCCAATATTTGTCTGAAACGTCTTTATTGACACCCCCAAATATAATGCACACTTATACCCTTAAGTGGGTTAAATGTCCAGAGAATTACACACTTTTCTGTAACCATGACAAGATCATCATTTTTAAGAACTTTACATTCTCTTACATACATATTTGCTTTTTGTTGCTCTTTTTTATGTACTGGTTTCTGCTTATTTTCTCCAGATAATTCATATATTTTTTGAGACACATCAAGAGTAAATGTGACATCTTTGCAATTTAAGGTCCATTTTGTTAAATACCCTTCGTATATTTCCGTTCCTTGAATGTATTTTTTACTTTCAATGTTTCTAATAAAATCAACGATGTCTTTTTTACCTGGAGGTGTCGAAATTTTGTTATAATCATTCGAATCATTTCTCAAATAATTAAGCCAGTTATCTTTTATTGAATGTTTTATCAATTTTTCAATAAATAATTGTTCATCATTTGCATAAATAAGGCTAAGGTTAACAATTAGGTGGCCGGATTTTGTGTTGCCGGTAATTTCTAGATTAAGGTCAGATTTTCATATTCG